AAAAACCCTGTCTGGACACAGAATTTATAGACGCTCCTTACGTTTCTCAGTTATTTGCTCTCAGAATAGGAAAATAGAAATACTTGAATAGAATATGTTCATGGTTTAAACGTGAGTAATGAAATCACTAACAAACTTATGAAATTCTAAACGTTAGCAACCGACAAAGAAGAATTGTCAGACAGGTTTGCTAGGCATAAGTCATAGCTTTTGTATAATAGTAACTGTGACCAGTCCCGAGTTTATTTATCAGTCATATTAGTGATCTTTTAGATAAGGATCAAATCATTTTCCTTTTTATTTATAAGTACTAGTTAAACGACTGGTGTTTTCGGCCTACAACGGTTCATTTGTACATCGGTGACTTGTCTGATGATAGACGGCCATGTTCCTAGTTCGATTCCCGGCTGACTCACTCTTAAAACTCATCGAGTTTAATAGCTGGTAGTGGTAAGGCTGGAAAAGAGGGAAAGTTGGATTTGAGGTCAGGAAAACCGCCCCGTTAAAAGTGACACTACTGAAACTGAATCTTAAAAGAACAGCTTGAAACCACCGTGTTTTACTCAAAGGGCAGGAAATGAATGAAACGGTCATTTTTGTAATATATTGTTTTACGGATATAATTATACACATGTATTATATTTTGTTAAACTGCCTGTCTTTATTCGTCTTCGGTTATATTACTGGTATGTGTTAAGACTGTATTGACTGAGCTTACTGAAATCAAGCGTTTTTCCGATTGAGTTCAGTAGCCTCCTCCAAAGTGCATTTTCAACTGGCACTGATGCCTGCCATGGAATTAGCTTGAGTGAGTGTATTCTCAAAATTGGCTTTTTTCACTGTATGAGATATGAAATTAAATGCAGACACCCATGGACACTTTCAATTACTATAACTTATACATAACCCTAAACAGAAGCACATGATTGGTTTCAAGTACGGAATGCTGTCGTGTCAGTATAAACTACGCTCATCAATTGAATAGCTGGCTTAGCAGGATTCCAATCAACCAGTAATAAGCATAATAAGCATACACTTAGCTATCGTTTTTCTCTTACTTGTCATTCCAATTAAAATGAATAAACTTTGCGAATTTTCTATCTTAGGTGACATAATAATAACAAAAATAGCAGCATACTGAGGCATAACTGATCAGATTATCCTTTGGATATTCCTAACTCCTTACTAGATATAGAAGTACAACTTTCAACAAGTTGTGTATTTTATATTTGGGTCAATTTACGGACATCCAGCGCCAATCACCATCAACGGGAGGCATTTAAAAGAGGTCACTTCATTCACTTATCTAGGGAGCGTTGTCTCAACTACACTAGGAACGGACGAGGATGTCAAATCGAGAATCAAGAAGGAAGGCGAGAAACACATTCATCAACCTGAAACCAATGTGGAAATCTTTTTCACTCAGCCAGAATCAACAACAAAATTCGGTCTGATTTTCAATACAAACGTGATGTCAGTCAGTTCTTCTATACCGAACAGATCAGAAACTTGGCGGGCTGGTCGCAAAGAATATTTCCAACAGCCTGTTGCAGAACTTTATTACCAACTGTCTTAGCTGGCTCTATACTGAAGATCAGATGGCCGGGTGGGAAAGAATCACCAAAAATAAGCTATTGTAAGAAACAAAACAAGAACAAACCAATCGCCCAACAAATATGCAGGAGAATGTGGAGATGGATTGGACATTCGCTCGCTGAGGAGGCCGCTGGGTGACATCGCGCGCTGAAGGAAGACAGAAGCAAATGGAGGGAGACGCGCACTTGAAGCCCTATTTTCCACTAGGAACCTAAGGGAACAATAATAATAATACGGACAGACTACTGTTGTTCTAACCAGTGAATTTTGTAAATAATCGATAAACTACTTTTTCCGTGGTAATTTAATATCGTTATAGTGATTACAACCTACACGTTATCCACCTTACTTTTCTGCATGATTAAGTTTTAACCTATTCAGAAGTGAATACTAACAGTAGTCGGTGGCATAGTGGTTAGGACGCTCGCCGACCATGCACATGGTCCGGGGTTCGAGCCCACGCCGACGCACACCTGATATCTATGGTTGGCCTGTGAATTTTGGGCTACCGATATCCACGCTGAAAATTCCACACTTGTACCATACTGTGTGGAATCAAGCTGTAACCAAAAAAAAATAAAATAAAATAAAATAGCTGAAATTCAGAAACAGCAGTTTCTTTACCATCTTTACCTGGATTTATACAAATTGAACTGAAAAACGCTAGCCTTTATGCGCCATTAGATTCCGTCCCATTGGAGGTCCCATGTTCTATCCTTTGTCTTACATGGATGAGTAATGCTGACGAGTCGTACACTGCGACAAAACAGCCCTCCAATTATCGAAGATTCTCTAGGTGATGTCGGTTTTTGATGAAGACTTACAGGGAAACAGACTGAAAGTTTTGCAGGTGCACTAGTTATTGTAAGGAACCAAACTGCTCCATGTTTTTTAAGGCATTCCGTTGATTAGGTTTATATTTACTTATCTATATCTCGTAGTCATATGAAATATTTTGCAACACCTCATTTGCTAAGGACTTGTCTCTTCAATACGACTGATTAATTATGTTCATCTCTCGTTACTGATATTGTTAAGGTAGCTCCGATAATTTTTTTGAAATCAGAAAAGAGATAAAATCAACAGCCCAGGCCCTTTGTGTTCCTTACTAGGAACGGGACGTTTTCGATTTGATGTTAAATACCAATAATAATGTTAAAATGAGGAGAAAAGAAACTACTATAATTAGGCGAAACGAAGAGATAATTGCTGAAATGTACAAGTAACCAGGATGGAAGGTATTATAATCATAATACCACAGCCTTATTGTGGTACACAGGTTGACTACACATCATTTGGTCAGTAATGTAGACTTGGACGTCAAGCAAATCTGATAAGTTCGAGTAGTTACTTGAAATCTAGACATGTTACCTATCTTCTTCTTAAACCTACAGTCGGTAAATTCATGGATTGATTCCATATCTTCATCCTGCGATGGTTCCCTTTATTCTTACCAAATACCTTTTATCGTCTGTTAGTCTCCATCAGTAGTGGTATATGTTCAATATTGCCAGTGGCGTAGCGGTAAAATACTCGCCGACGAAGGAGGTGGTTCGGAGTTCAATCCCCAGCCAACGCACTCCTCTAACTCGCTAAGCTAGTAAAAAGAATGATAAAGAGGGAAGGTTGGGCATGAGACTAGCAACCCCATCTCGTAAAAATAAACAACTTGTTCTACCGAAACTTCACAGCTCTAGCTTGAAGCCCTATGTTCCACTGGAAACGTTAAGGAAAAATATTTAGGGATCCAACACATTGGGTCCTAAGTACAAATGCAGATCTTTAACTATGGTGTTATAAATTCGTCCTGAGAAGTCAGAATGTCTTCAGTTACGTCAAACTTTACTGAAGTTAGTACACAAATAAAAAAGATTAATTTTGGGGAAATAAACTGCGACTCAAACCGTTTCTAATCAAATCTTGATACTGAATACCGCCTAAATACAACTTAAAAGAGTACCAACAATGCAAATTTAAGTAAGGCGTTTATGGCACCTTTAGGGTTGAGAATTTACTATTCGGACAACATGTTTACATTGTTTCCCTAGAGATGCGCTTAAAAACACTTCAAGTTTGATCACTAGATCACATCAATTAGAGATCCACTGAAAACCAGCGAGGAGTACTGGACAGTTGTTTTGTCGTAGTCCAGGACTCTACCAGGTTTGCACCCGGAACCTTCTTGTTACGTGGCTAGCTCGTAGACCACTCAGCCAATGTGGTTCAAACAATGTCAACTCGTAATAAAACCCGTAACCAGTCAAATCCCTGAAAACCAAAATTTAATGGAAATTATTACAGCACACTTTCTAGTGGAACTCACTAGGAAATCGTAACATCTGAAAATAATGCGTTTATAATTTCACGGAATAACAACTTAGTGATGCCTGTAAACTGACATTTCTCCTGTATAAGCCATTAGATGGCATAAAAGGTCGAGGGCTGAACAACATACCATATATATGATATATCTTAGTCACATCAGGCGTTGTAACTTTTCCACCAGTTATATTATTAGTCATTCACGCATCACTTCCTCTAAGCGCTAAAGATGGTGCGAATGACTTGGTGGTTAAATGCTTCGAGGTTTTGTGTTCTGTTTACTTGTAAATGACATTATTCCAAAGCTGTGCGACGGAAGTGAATATAATGTCAGTTTTGTTGTTAGTATGGTAAGTAAACATTTCAAGAGAAGAAAAATCTAACGAATTTCATATTCTAAGTTCTGCTAGCCAATCGCATCTTCTTGAGAAAATCTCGCGCACTACTTGATCTACTAGACGTATTCCGAGAAAGTTTCACTGAAGCAATTGTATTCTCGTCAGTAATAACATATATCAGTTGATAGAATATGCACTGATGTTATTCAGTTTTTAAAAAATATGTACAGATGACGGTGAAACTTTATCAACATCAAGTCATTAAAACAAGTAAAATGGAGACTTTCATTGAAGTGTGAAGTATGAGATTGCAACTGTCTAAATTGAATGTTGCATGGATGCAATTCAAAGTATAGCTCTAAATGATAGTATGACTAATTATTGTAAACCCGATAGACCAAGTCACATACTTCAGGTTGAGTTTTAAAAACTCCACTTCACCCATTCAACTTGTGTGTCAATGTTTGATACTGATTGTTATCTCAGCGATTCATTTTACAGTCACACTGGAGCGGAAAGACTTAGAGAACAATATAGAGGACAAAGACAATTGTCAGTGTTCGTAAGATATTAACACTTTTTAAGGATACAGTATTCGTGCATAAATAGACACTTTTTGAAATAAAAGTAGCTGAGTTCTATCTGTCAGAATTTCACAGATTTAAAGATCTTTTATAACGACTATCATTTAGGTGGGCTTATTTAAAACTAATACTCTATGAAATCTCATTTCTATACTTACAGCTGAATCTGTTAAATGTTACAAGTGTGATAACTGTGCGATTGTAAATCCTAGTACACCAACAGCTACAGATTGTGGAATATGCATGGTAAGTTGTTTGATGTAATATTTTTGAAAATTAAAGGATGGGAACAAAGACCATCCTGGCTGGTGTGTGTGTGTGTGTGCGTGTGCGTGTGTGCATCAAAATATGAACTGACTATTTTTCGCTGGTAGTTAGATCGCAGTATTTTTATTGCTTAGCATGACTACTATAGGTGAACCTTAGGTTATTCGATATAACTGCCAAAAATCAATGACTAAAGGGTTAATAAATGCCGTACACAAACGTTAATTTATACACAACGATCCAAAATACTTTTTATCCTACTTGATGATTGGAAGCAATCTGCAGGAGGCCTTGGAGCCAGGTTTCGTGCTTGATGACTCTTACCAATCAGCTTGATGTATCGGCAGTCTCAAAGTAACTCTTGCCGCTTCTGAGATTCAAACCCCTTGTCAACCACTGCTGCAGAAACATACATCACCACTGAGCTTTTGTTGTGATAGATAAGTCTAAAATCTGGGACACAGCAAGAAACCAATTAGGTACATTTAGATTACCACCTAAGCTAGTTTAATTATCAGTCAGAGATAAGTGTAAGACTGAATGACAAATACATCTAGTTGCGACTATAAGTTCCATGAAATAGCATAGGTAATGAAGAGGTACTAGACAGATCGGTTTAAAAAACTCTCTGTAGGAAATGTCGACTCACTCTTTGGGTACGAGTTTTCCAGAAATATACTTAACTCTCTAAACGGAAGATGAATAAAATTACTTAATATAACCATCATAGCACTTCTAATGGTAATAGCAAATGTGAAGGGTTTTTATAAAGTTCCTTTTTGAGGATTTGATTGGTTTCACATAAGGCCATGGATCGATATAAGTTAGACAATCGCTTTAAAACAGGGAGTACTAGGCACTATGGGACTTTTCAGCAGAATGAGCCCATGACCCCCAGTGGGGAACGACTCGAGTGCCTTCAGACCAAGAGATGATTTATTTGACCATTCAGCATTAAAATTAGCACCTGAATGATAAATCCAATCGGTATAAATCAAGTGTTATGAAAGGCATGAATGCAGATCTCTTTGAATGATTGGTGTGTTCGTTATACCCACTGCATATGTGAAGTTTTTGGCTGTTCATTGAAAGAAATCAAGGCTCAAGTCGGATTTAACTTACTCCAGAGTAACAGTGTCCATATATATATGCAAATGTTATTTGTGAGTGTGTCCATATACAAGGTCAGACGTTGTTTAATCGCCTATTTTGTATTCCTGTAGACACAATTTCAAAAATCGGGTGTAGTCAACAGGTTTTGTGCACGTGACAATAAGGAATTGCCTCCCGGTGCTCAACCATCAGATGTTATCAGATTTTGTAGCAATGATTTGTGTAACAGTTTACAAAAGCCGAACAAGAACTCTCAAGGTAAATTATCGCCGAAAAATCAACTATTCGCTGTAACATTTTTGGCTATAACAAGTCTATTTGTCACCTGTTTATGAAATGAAATAAGGATAATCTTGTGCACTTTGAGAAGATTGAATAATAATCGACTATAGTAGATGTTGAACATTTCATCTTATTTTATTTGTTTTAATTGATGTGGCATCTGCTTCATTTAATTATCATAAAGACTGTTCTCTATATTGTTAAATGTTGACGTATTTATTAGCAGAAATAGATGTTCTATTCTACAAACCTATTTGTTCTTTTTTCTTGATTTGTTTGTTCCTACTGTCTATCTGTCATTTGCTTTTTTTTTAACAAAGTGCTTGCTTGTTTAATGTTGCTTAAGTGAATTATGTTGTAGTGGGAATTTATTTGATTTTGATAACGTTTTTTTTCAATACGGTGGAATAATTCTTTTTGAATCTAGTTTTATTTTTTTTATTCCTTCAAGTCCCGAGTGAAAGATAGGGCTCCAAGCTACAGCTCTGAATTTTTAGTAGCAGTGATCTTATTTAAACAGAGTGGGGTCTACTAGCCTGAAGCCTAACATTCCCTTTTACTGCCTACGACCGAGGATTGAATCCCGAACGATATGAGGTGTGGTTGGCGAGCGTTCCGTCACTGAGCCACCAACTCACCTTTTATTCAGTAATATGGTTATGTTCTAAATCTACCTACCGACGTTTAGAATACTAAGCAGTTTATAACTTTTATGGACTCATGATTAAGATTTTGAAGCACATAAGTCTTGAAATCAAATTTGCCTAAACCCCCCTTTGTCAAATCTTAATTGTTATACATAGTTCTTTCATAGATAGCAGTAGACGTTCTCGGTATCTCACTAGTAAATTAAAAATTCACGACATGAAATTGTAGTTATTCAGAAATAATAATATGTAGTTTTGCTTACTTTTCATGCTTTTCTTGCATTCTGAGTGAAATATATATAAGACTTGAATAGCAAATCTCCATTGTACTCCATTCACTGTCATCATTTTCAGTTGACTGCACAATTGTCTACAGGAGCACATTTTTTCTTCACATGATTTCCACTCCCCTATCAGAGGGGCCAATAGGTCGTTTCATATTCATGTTTTTTCTTCCTGATGGCCTGGGCGTGGTATCACACTGAACAGTCTCCTCAGCTAATTTACAATCTATCTCCACTTCCTCCTTTATCTTTTTTAAACAATGATTTCTTGACTTTTCTGCTGCCTGCCAGAGGTTCCCTGTTGTTTATTCGTTCCTGCTGCCATTAGATATTCACTATTGAGGTGGTGAAGGCACCTGATGGTAACAGCCTGCAGGAAAAATGTTTACTTTTTAAAATTACTTAAATCAATCTGCTTTTTCGAAGGAGAAAAATAAGTTCACTCAAAAATGACTACATTTCAGATATCAAACGACTGTTTATTTTTGCCGCCATTGACTTTTTGAATTTTTTTGAGAATAAATTCTATGCGTATTGTCACTTATATATATATATATATATATATAAATATACTCAGGTTGTGGATTAACAACCGCATTGATTTCTATCATGTTCCTCAGTGTGTTAGTTAGAATATGTTACATTTTTCCTAAATCTCGGTGGAAGAACACTATATTGACTAAAATTTAAAACTAATATCTTCAGGGTGTGAATGGAAAACTTTTGACTTGATATTGATATTGACAACTAGTCATTCTGTTGTTGTCTTGATGCTGACATCAAGTTGATATTATAGGTTACTTGTAAAGGAGTCGATCATACATATTGAATCGATGGATCACACCAACTTTCATTGAATTGTTTTATTCATATGTTAGTAATCCCCTCTGTGTATTTCATCCTGGGGATCTAATTAGAAACAATAGCTTTTACACAGTTGATGCAACTCACTTCTCCGAACATGGAAAACTTGTTCCGAATAAATTGGTTGTAACAAAAATCAGGAGTTACAACTATTGACTTTAAGACCATCATGTTTTTAACAATAAAGTGAAAACAGTTTGAACGTAATATGGTTTAATTTTCTTTATCTTACTGTCTGTTTCTTCAGAGAGGGCTGAATTATTTCTGTTTACTCCTGATCTCCTCGGCTAAAATCAAATCAATCACTAGTTTAATATTTAGTGCATTGTACTTTTATACACAATGTCAATGTGTTTGGATCATGGGGATAAAATAAATGCTTGTTACACAAGAAGAGAGAAAGTGTCTGATCGCATAAAAATTCACAGTTTATTAGTTCATGTTCTGTTAGACAAGTCTGACCAGCTACTCTTAGCTTGTAGGCTAAAGATTTCGATTTTCGGTAGTTAATTTACTTAATTGTCATTTTAAATGCACAAACTAGCAGGTAGATACACGTTTGGGAATAATTAAATCTTACGAATGTGACGTATATAAACTCTGCCTGATAAAACACAGTACCATTGTATGGCTAATATTTCGTAGTTTATAAAATAAATAATTGTAAACCATCAAGTTCAATTAGGAAATGAAGTGGTTTCAATTACTGGTTGATTTAGCAAATAAAATCATAACTATTATTTCTTTTTGGTTTCGATTGTAAAATAGGGTTTTAGCGGCACATCTCCAGTTTGTCCTATTCTCCGCAGTTCTCTTCGCCTGACTCCACAATTCCTGATAATCTCTCATCTCCTCATCACACGATCCCCTCCATGTCACCCTCGGACAAATACAAAGCTGGTCGTTTCCCACTCGGGTTCCACTTGAGTGACGGCCTTGGACAATTTCATTCGTGGTCCCATCAGGGAGTGTTCGATACATTTCCACTTTCTTCAGCTTATTTCTTGAACAACAGGTTCTCAATTGGTTCGTCCTCATAGCTTTTTATTTCGAATTCTTCCGGGATAGCCATATGGTCTGCAGTTAGGAGCCAGCGAAGTTGGGAGCTGTTGATGAAAGTTTGTAAGCGGCTGTTGGAAATGGTTTTTGTGACGCTTAGGCCAAGCTACTGACCTTTATAGAAGAAATGAATGACATAACATGGGTTTTGAAAATCTCAAACTAGGACGAAATAGCTGTCCAGTACTTCCAGGTTTTCCAGTGGTTCTCTAACTGATGTAAGCTCATGATGAAATCCTCCATTCAATCGAATAGAATAGTCTCTGTTCACTAAAACCAACATTTTAATCCATCGAAATCAAATTATTGTTTGAAGAAGTGTTTAGTACACTCATATATTGATGAGATCGACAAAATTTTATTTTATTTATTTTATTTTTATTTTTGATTACAGCTTGATTCCACACCGTATTTTGGTACAAGTGTGGAATTTTTAGCGTGGATATCGGTAGCCCTAAATTCGCAGGCCGACCATAGATATCAGGTGTGCGTCGGCGTGGGCTCGAACCCCGGACCAAGTACATGGTCGGCGAGATTCCTAACCACTGTGCCACCGACGCACATTTTGATCAAGGCGTTAGCAGCCAATTTGTTTTCACTTCATGAATTGTTGATACTTTCTAGCAAATTCAAGTATGAGCTATATAATTCCATATTAGTTTGATTATTAAATGTATCACACAGTGAAACAGTATTGTATACTGGATGACGTTTCGAACACAATTTATTGTTCATAATCATATCAATCATAATCATAATCATATCAATCAATGAGCTATATAATTTATCTGATCTATATAAGAGATGACTTCCTCATATCTAAAATGTTAGTTTCATGAGTATGTTTGAGTGGGAGGTGCGGTTTGTTAACATAAATATCACACTTACTGATTTATTCTTGGTTAAACTCCAGTTGTGTGTGTGTGTGTGTGTGTGAATGATGCAAATCTACCTCAGTATAATGTTTGTAAACGTGCCTTATAAGAAATAAGTAAAAAGTCAGACACGTGTGAATAGACTTTCTTGAAATATGAAGGACATTTAAACAGATATTTTTTAAAATTTATTATCAGTGGTGTATTCATTGCAGATGCACTAATTCATTAGCCAATAAGATTTGACTGCTTTTGAATAAAAATTACAAAAGCAATGATTACTTTAATTGAGATTGTTTTATGCTTTTTCTATTGTAGATGGTAATACAAAGTGTTATAAATGCGATAATTGTCGCACTGTGGGAAGTGATACAACCGTAGCTTCGAATTGTGGCGCCTGTTTAGTAAGTATGTTTTACATATAATATATGTATACATTATGGAACTGAAAGCCTTGATCACAGATGATGACACACTACAATTAAACTAGAGTAGACCAGCTGCAAATGGTAGAGCCAGTGTGTGAAAACATGGCAAAACTCAGAAATGAATTCAACTGCTGTTGTGGGACAATGGTATATTATGTGTTAGTTGGCTATTGAAATACATTAGAATAAGTGTGTCCAAATCCTACCTGACTCATAATCCTCATATGCTTAAGTGATTTAGTGACATAGCGCATACAATTAGCTGCTTCATGGCTGGCACAGCTGTAATGTAATTCCTTTTGGCCTAAAATACTATCCGAACATGTGATGAATAAATCTGTGAACATTTCCAAATTGTCCAATGAAGTCGTTCTCCACGTAACGACTCATTAGCTCACCCTCTACAATCTCTTTACAACAGGAGGCAAAACTGATGTTTATATATGTCCATCTTTCAGGTGTATCATTATCATTCCTTTGGGTTCCGGGTGAGAAACGGGGTTTCAACAGCACATCTATATTTCATCCTATTCTATGCAGTCCATTTTAGACGGCTTCTCGACTGCCTGCGTGCTTTCACCTCCTTTTCACATGATCTGCTACATGTCCTCCTCAGACCCATTCCAAACTCGTCGTTTTGCACTTTCTAAGCACGCTAGAATTTTAAAATCTGTGTTACCCTGATATTTCTGAAGACGTTTCTGTGTTAAAGTTATGCGATTGAACGCTTCACTGTTTGGTTTAAAGTTAATTTAGTAATGGCAGCGATAGAATTGAGAAAGTGTATTCTGACATATCTGAGACATGTCATTTTAACAATCTGGCTTTACAACACTTTGAGAGAGAACCACAAGTACTGTTGAGCAACTTAAAACCACATTCATTGTGCAAAGAGTGAATGTCATGTTCCAGTAGTTTGACAAATTACCCTTCGGTATTTGAAATTACAAGTGAGAACGACAAAACCTTTGCAAGTGGTAGTGACATCCAGCTTACAAAGCCTAAGGTACACAGGGTTCCCATTCCACATATCACCGCCAAGTAATACGAAACTTAATCAAGTTCGCTGTAAAATTTCTCATTATCTACCCATAGAAAATTAGTTGGTTTGAAAAGCGATTCAAGGACTGTCAAGGACTTTTCCATAACTTGAGTTCCAGGTGAATAGTAGGTCTATAAGTTTTGAACTTAAACTAGCAGTGGTGATGTTTTCACCGTGTAGGCTTTTTGGCTTCACGCCCAATCCTTTCTGCCTTCCGGACTTATTACCTACAGACGAGGAGGTCACCACCGGTCAGGTAATTCCGTCGTGGCTGACAAACATTCAAACAGTGAGCCGCTGGTTACCAAAAGTGAAACTATAATTTGAATAAAGCAAGAACAACAGTGGTTTGTGCAGAATAATATGGTACCATAATTTATTTCGTTGGCTTCTCATCATCTGCTTACAGCCTAAATAAATTATCAGGTTTACGTACAGAAACGTTTTAACATACTTGCAAATTTTACATGTTGTCAGTTGACAGAAAATTCCACAATTAGTAAACAGTGCTCAGAAATTTGCGCTCATTTATTTTTTACACAGTTTAAACAAAATAAATGTATGTATATAATGGTAAAGGAGTTGAGTAATAGAAATGAGATGTGCGTTAGATGCATAGTGACTAATAAGTTAGGCAACAATGAACTGAGTTGAACTCAAACCATTGAAACAAGAGACAAGCAAAATTACAGATTATAAAAGAAAGGTGAGGTTAAAGACAAAGATTACGTAATCAGAGGAGAGAATAAAGACGTCCAGTTACCAGGACAAGGAATACCTGCTTCTTTCTGAACACATAAATCTGGTTACAAGCGTTTGATAGAAATTGCTTCGGCAAACTTGAGGAGAATTGAGCTCTTTTGTCTACTGATAATTTTGAAGGATGTCTCGATTTCCACCTCATGACCGGTATCGAGGAGATGTCTGGTAATAGCGCTGCTATAAGAGTTTGTTCCCTTGAGACGTAGGCTTTTCGGCTAATGTTCAGAAAATCGGAGATGTGCCCTTCTTTCTGTTCTCTCAATGTAACTGCTCCCGCAGATACGCGTCAATTTGTATACACAGTTGGAGTTAACATGAGAAGCGTATCTATAGACTTTTGACTGCGCCAAAGTGCATGTTGTTCGATGGACGGGAACCAACTTAGCTGCAGGATAGGTTGTGTCTAGTGACGTTCTCAGTCTTCTGTTGACCATTTCTGCAATGTCTTCACCTTTAAAATCTAGTTGAATGAAGACAGGCCTTTTTCAACTGTGATTTGTTTGGTATTTGAGCCTTCACATCTTCCATATTTGTTAATGAATCTTTGAGTATAACCATTGTTTTTCAGCACCTTTTCGAGAATCGCAAATTCTTCCTCTAATTTCCCTGTAGAGCATATTCTCCTCGCTCTATAGTACAGAGTCTTGACTAGTGCTCGTTTGTAGCTATTTGGACAAAAACTATTAAAATGTAAGTATTGTCCATTCCATGTGGGCTTTCGGTAGATTGACCTCTGGAGACTACCACCTTCTAGGCGTTTCAAGGCGACGTCAAGGAAATGGAACTTTCCATCATTTTCATGTCCCATAGTAAATACAATATTTGTATGTGTGTTGCTGAATAGTCTGAGTAGGTATGAGGCATTACTTTCGTTGTTGCGTACTGCAAATATGTCATCGACATATCGACAATAGGAATTCGTTTGATCAATGGCATGCTTCAACTTTGTTTTCTGAAGGTTTGACATGAAGATATCTGCTAAAACAGGGCTAAGTGGACTGCCCATAGGTACACTATCCATTTATCGGTAAAGAGTGTTGTCAAACTGGAATTGTACACCCATGGTACACATTAACAGTAGGCGTTTGAATGCTGGCTCTGGTAGCAGGAGAAGATCAGACTGTTGACAAATGATCTCAATGGTTTCATTGATTTGAATCATTGTGAACAAGGAGGTTGCATCAAAAGAAGCCGTGAACTTATTTGAAGCATTCATGTGATTCACTTTTTTGGCGAAATGAAATGAGTCTTTTGTGGTATGCATGGCTAGCTATCGGCGAAGGGGTTCAAACTTCTCCGCAAGCCAATGGGCAACCTTGCGTTGGGGAAAGTTGGTCATAGAAAGTATAGGTCTCAGAGGGACTGCACAAACCACTGTTGTTCTTGCTTTATTCAAATTCATCAAGGGGAATAAATGCATGAAGAAACCATAATATTGAATTTGAATGACAGAATGGTCATAATATATGTAATTTTATCTAAGTTTAAATTAAACGTAAGACTCTGAAACAAGGAGATTTATATATCTGATAAGATGGAGAAATTAGCAGTTAGAAGACAAGTAGTTCAGTCATCTACAGGCCACTAGTGGTAAGCATTTGCAGTCATATATGTATGTGCGTTCCAGCAGGCTTACGAAGTTGTTTATGTAAGACAGAAAGATAACATAAGAAACAATTTTATGTCTGTAAGCTAATTTTCTTTTGTTTGTTTTTTTGTAGACACAATTCCAGAAATCTGGAGTGATCAATCGATACTGTGTACGTGATTCCAGGGAATTGCCTGCAAATCACCAAAGATCAGATACACTTGTCTACTGTCATTCAGATACATGTAATAGTCTTTTAGAACCACCAAAAAATTCTCAGTGTCAATTACTGCCAAGAGGTCATGTTTATGCGACAACTATTTTGGTGACAGCCTATCTGGTTATCTTACGCTTTTGAGATGAGCTAATTAAAGTTTATAGAACAAAAGCTTACAGTTTATAAGTAAAACTTAATTACTTGTCCAGTCTGACTTTTCTCAATTTCACAGTTTACTGTTCAACTAAATAAGAACATAGTTTATACTAACAGGTAACTTTTATTACATTCTTTCTCTCCATTAACACTTGAATAATTAAATACCTTCACTTATTTACTATTACTCAATAACATGCTTGTACATTAGGCTTTTGAGGCATACTATGTCTATTGTTATACTTTTCAATATTGTTTTTAAGTATGGATAACACTTTATGATAATTGAATATCTTATGTTTGTATTGCAATGTTTTTCTGCTTTTTTTTATGATGGTAGCAATTCGTTGCAATTTGTATGTTTCCTCAGTGAAAGAGTGTTCAATCGGAGTGAATAACTCCTCTTCGAGGCAGTATGTTGTGTGTCGGTGGCGCAGCGGTAGAACTGTTGCCAAGCACGCAGGTGGCCTGGGATTCGATCCCCGGCCAACGCACTCGTTTACCTCTCTAAGCCATTAATAAGATTGGTTAAGAGGGAAGTTTGGGTGCGAGGCTAGAAATTTTAACTAGTGAAAATGAACATCGCTGCTACTCAGACTTCAAGCCTCTAACTTGTGCGTCGGTGGCACACCGGTTATGACTCTCGCCGATCATGAACTTGATCAGGAGTTCGATCCTCTACCGATGCACACCTGATATCTATGGTCGGCCTGCAAAATTTGGGCTGCCGATATCACGTGCTGAAAACCCCACACCAGTACCAAAAACACGGGGCGGAATCAAGCTGTAATCAAAAAAAGAACTTGATTCCCTATATTACGCTGGGAACGTAAAGCAATAAAAAAGGAAGTATGTGTAGCGGTAAATAATTCCCCAAAATTATTGACCACAGCAATCACTCATTGGATGCTGACCACCACTGTTTAAGTCGACTTGTTTAGCTGAAGGCTTCCGGTCAAGCATCCCCGCCATTTGGTACCCCGTCGTGTCACGTGCACGATCACTAGCTAGCTAAGCGTTCGTCTGACGGCTTGTTTTGGTCCCAGAATATATTACGAAGTTTGGACGATCAATTATTGGCTTTTGCTTTGTCTTTGGTACGCGAGAATAAATTAATTAGAAGTTGCTGAACGAGATATCCGTCAACCTCTAAACTGGTGAGCCCAACCGCGAACTTCATCCACGATAAATCCGCAGATAACCCCGGTGAGTTCGTTCCATTTTGTATTTGTTCTTGTACCATATATTATTCGACATAATTTTCGTCATGAGTGATCTTAGTCCCAAGGTCATCCGTATCCGCTCAACTCCTAAAACCATTCAGCTCGTACCATACTGGCCAGATAATGCTGAAACGTGGTTTCTGCTAGCTGAAGCAGATTTTTGTGAGCATGGGATAACCGATCAACGTTCACAGTTACTTGCAGTTATTCACGCCCTACCGCGGGAATTCAGCAAGTACGTAACATCACAGATGTTGAGTCCCGAGGTAAGTAACTCGTACGAGTTGCTCAAAGCATCCCTCCTCAGGAGAAACGTTCTCACGGACCGACAACGTCTAGATGAATTATTTCGTAACATCGAGTTAGGAGATCAGTCAGCCGTGAGCATGCTGACAAGAATGAAACAAGTCGTCGGCCAAAGTCAGTTCGACGAAGGACTGTTTAGAGAACTCTTCTTAACCAAGCTGCCACAGTCTGTACAGACCGTACTTGTGACACTTCAGGGTACTGTAATAGAGGACTTAGCTATTACTGCAGATAGGATTCTAGAAATAACTAAACGGTCTGTTCCCGAAATATGCTCGATGACTAAGCAGACTTCGAGTAAGGATCCTGCAATGATAGAGTTATGCAACTCCATCCAGCAGATGTTTAGGTCGAACATGCATTCTAAATCCTCCGACCGTCGTCCTAAATCTCCTCAACGCAGGAACTCACGTGGTCGATCTAAGTCCAAACCACGTTCACTGAAAAACCCTGACTGGTGCTGGTACCACAACACCTATGGCCAAGAAGCGAAGTGTTGCCGTAAGCCTTGTAACTTCGGAAATGTCTCAAAGTCTGTGGGAAACTATCCCGCCGGCACGCGTTAGCGGCAACCGTCGCCGGTGGCACTAGCCGCCTACTTTACATCCATGATGTGATAAGCCAGACTCGATACTTAGTCGACACAGGCGCCGAAGTCAGCGTCCTTCCTGCTACAGCAGCAGATCGACAGAAGGAACCTACCTTCAACTTACAGGCTGCAAATGGAAAACCAATCGCAACCTTTGGTAGGAAATACGTCTATCTGAACGTAGGTTTACGCAAACCTATTCGATGGATTTTCCTTCTCGCTGACGTTACAATGCCCATCATTGGCACGGACCTACTTAATCATCATGATTTACTCGTAGACGTCCGCCGAAAACGACTGATTGACAATACTACTAGTCTGTCTATCAAAGGCATCAGCTACATAGGCCCTAGTTTGTCACCCGTTAAGATAAAGGCAATCCTTGATCCAACTTTTCAACCTATTGTTGACAAGTATCCGGAACTTAATTGCCCGTCGAACGACCTACCGTGCATAACCAGCAATGTTATGCACCACATCATTACCACAGGACAACCTGTGACATCTAAAGCACGACGATTAGCTCCTGACAAACTGAGAATCGCCAGGAATGAATTTGACCATATGCTTACCCTTGGCATCATTCGACCTTCGAATAGCCCATGGGCATCCCCACTTCATATGGTTCCGAAAAAGGATAGCAATGATTGGCGACCCACCGGTGATTACCGGCGAGTGAATGCCAAAACAACCCCTGATTGCTACCCGTTGCCTCATATACACGACTTGACGGCAACCTTATCCGGCGCGACTATATTCTCCAAAATCGACTTGGTTAAAGCGTATAACCAAATCCCGATGGCAACAGAAGATATCCCGAAAACGGCTATCATTACGCCTTTCGGACTTTTTGAATTTCTACGTATGCCATTCGGTCTCCGGAATGCAGCCCAAACATTCCAACGCTTCATTGACGAAGTATTTCGCGGTCTCGACTTTGTATACGCATACTTAGACGACTGCCTCATTGCCAGTCCAGACAAGGAAACTCACCTTAGGCACTTGGACTTGGCATTTGAAAGGTTACGCCAACATGGTGTTACCATTAATATTCAAAAGTGTCAAATCGGTGTTGACTCACTCGACTTTCTGGGTCACACTATTGACTGCAAGGGCATTCGCCCACTGGCTACTAAGGTCGAGGCTATACTGAAACCGGCTTACTTGGAGGGTAATCCTATTAGCATAGAGCTGAACGTACCCCATAATCCACAAGTAACAGAAGATCGTTTAGACATCGATGAAGTCACTAGCACAGCGACAGCTACCGAACCTTCTATCGAGCCTCCCAAGAAAACCCGTTCTGGACGCACCGTAAGGTTCCCAGAATATCTGCACACTTATTTGACTTAACGAAGTCGTGTGATTCACGCAACTCATTCGTTTGTGGTACTGACTATTTTTTTTGACGTATCAATTTTTTTTATATACAGTACCACCGAACACAAAATTTTTTTTCCAACAGTTCATGTAACATACACAAAAAAATTAATTAGATGTATTTTTTTTCGATGTTCTGAACTTAGCATTATTTTACTGTATAGTAAATGCACATAATTTTTTTTAACCAAAAAGCCCATTTCGTACATTTTCCTCGACATGGTTCTTAGCGTTCTTGTTTTCTTTTCCAGGTGCGACGGGCACTGGACAGGAAACAAACGAAGCACGGGATCCAACGAACAACTTCCAGAAAGCTATGTACAAACACCCTATTAGCATAGGCAGACAAACCAGTAGGCATACGACCAAGCCGCTCGGAAGATTTTTTTCACCCGAAAGGGAACCATCGAGTTTTTTTACTTCCGGCTGGTTCTGTCTTAGGGTCCTCACGACCCCACTAGGGGGGGAGTGAGCTGTAGCGGTAAATAATTCCCCAAAATTATTGACCACAGCAATCACTCATTGGATGCTGACCACCACTGTTTAAGTCGACTTGTTTAGCTGAAGGCTTCCGGTCAAGCATCCCCGCCATTTGGTACCCCGTCGTGTCACGTGCACGATCACTAGCTAGTTAAGCGTTCGTCTGACGGCTTGTTTTGGTCCCAGAATATATTACGAAGTTTGGACGATCAACTATTGGCCTTTGCTTTGTCTTTGGTACGCGAGAATAAATTAACTAGAAGTTACTGAACGAGATATCCGTCAACCTCTAAATATGTTACATATAAATTTGCAAATAGTTGTCTTTATTTACAAATTTGAAGGGAAATCTGAGCCGAAATCAAAGTTTTATTCGTCCTCCTGTTTATGCTGTCAATATTACAGGCAGATGTAAGCAGAGGAAAATCTTGTAGTAATAGCTTGTATTATTATTATTGTTCCCTTGGGTTCCTAGTGGATCATAGGCCTTCAACTGCACGTCTCCCTCCACTTGCTTCTGTCTTCCTCCTGCTGTACTTTTCACTTGCATCCATGTTAGTCCATACTCTTTCAACTCCTCCCGCATCACGCGATCTCCTCCATGTCACCCTTGCACTGACGTCCCACTCGCCGCTTCCCTTTCGGCTTGGTTCCACTCGAGAGATGGCTTGACCCGCGCGCGCGATGTCACCCATCTCCGCTTTCTCCTGCATATTTGTTGGCTGGTGATTGGTTCTTGTTTTGTTTGTTTGTTCCCATAGTTTCTTGTCGGCGATTCTTTCCGGCCCACCCATCTGATCTTCATTATAGAGTCAGCGAAGACAGTTGTTGATAAATGTCTGCAACAGGCTGTTGGAAATATTCTTTGTGACACACCCGCCAAGTCTCTGATCCATACAGAAGAACTGACTGATTTGACGTTTGTATTGAAAATCCTACCAAACTTTATTGTTGATTCTGACTGAGTGACGAAGATTCCCAGATTGGTTTCAGGTTGATGAATGTGTTTCTCGCCTTCCCGATTCTCGCTCGATTTGACATCCTCGTCCGTTCCTTCTGTAGTCATAGTAATAGCTTGTACAACACAATAATAGAGGACTCACGAGTAAAATGTATTTTTGTTTTCACGGGATGTGAAATATTGACTCAGTCAGTGACTGTGTAAAAACCTACTTTTAAACTGTCTTCATCTTTCAAATTGTCAGAAGTAGATTACAAAAAATACAGTAACTTCCATTTCGACTTAAAAGTGAAAGCCACAAAACGATGAAGGATAAATGAGGTAAAACTCTC